TTGAGGATTAACTAAACTCTTAGAAGTCATTGTCTCTGTGCTGGATGAGGTAAGAGACTTTTTTTTTTACCTCTGTCATTTTTTGTTGGCAAGAAGCAGCAGAAGGTGTGAGGAGCTCCATGTCCTGCTTTTATCTCTGAGGTGGCTCTTTGCTGGGCCAGATTTTTCTTTTGCAATCAAAGCTAAAAGCAAAGATGCCGGGAAGAATTTTAAAATGCCATCGTGCATGTTACATCTCTGCTTCCCCCTGACATTTTCCAGTGGAGCATGGCACTGATGTCCCAGATCAACAAGCAGCATTTGTGTGTGTCGTGGGAGGGGGGTGCAGGGTAGATGTCACCTCCTCTGCCCTGTCCCCCTTCATCAGCAAGGGAGGAGACATTTTGTTTGCCCAAGGTGAAGCAAATGCTCAGCTGGATAAAAGCAGGGCTGAGGCTGGCAGGGCTGGGCAGGCACCTCTGAGCATCTCTGCCAGCAAAGGGGATGGGGAGCTGTGGCTGCCCCATTCCTGGCAGTGTTGAAGGGCAGGTTGGATGGGGCTTGGAGCAACCTGGGCTGGTGGGAGGTGTCCCATGGATGGGGGGGCTGAAACTGGATGATCTTTAAGGTCCCTTCCATCCCATTCTAGCATTCTATGACCAGTCAACCAGCCCTTCCCTGGGCCACCCCCTGGGCTGTGGCTCTTCCTGGTGCCCACCCTGGCTCCCCCCACCACTTGCCAGCAGCGCAGGCGTTTCGATAGGGATCTGCTGCTGCCTGTGATAGGCAACTGCCTGCCGAGTTGCAATCAGATAAACCCTTTACAAGAATGAAAGCTGACAGTAAAGCACAAGCTTTAGATTCCATTTCCTGCTGCTTTTTTTTTGCTGTTTTTTTGGCTGGTTGTTTCTCAGTAACCAGCCCTTTCCCGGCACCGTCCCCAGCAGATGCACCAACCGCGTCAGTTCTCAGCCCCACCTCGCCCGGGGGGGCCGCAGGGATTTCCCACCCTGCAGTGTTTGCAGTGGGTTTCTTTCCCATGCCCCCCACCCCCCAGGCCTGGAGGTGACTTCTGCCTTCCTTGGGATCAGCACTTGCAGGGCACGATGGATCCCAAATCTCCATCGCCTCCCAGATCCTCCACATCCCCCTCCATTTCCCTGCTGGCCTTTGGGCTTCTTAGGGCTCTTTTTGCCCTCTCGCTCCCCATTCCTCGCCCACCAACAGCAGGGAGGGGTGGCTGTGACCCCCCTGCTCCTGTCACCCCCATCCCGGGGCTGTCCCGGGGCAGTGGGAGCAGGGCAGGGCCCCACGTCCCCGCACCCCGGCGGGGCCTGCGCACGTTTCCGCTCCTTCAAAATGGCCGTGGCCTGATAAGGCTGCGGTTTCCTCCGGCGTGTGAGGCAGGGGAGGCAGCAGCAGCAGGCAGAGCTGCTCCCCTGCCCTGTGCTGGGACCCCCCGGGATGGACCCCCAGCCCCCCGCCGGGACCCTGCCCGGGGAGGACAGCCCTGATGTAGGTGATCTTGACCCCCAAGGGGGGTGGTTTTTTGGGGGCTGGGAGAGTGTTTGGGGTGTCCTGGGGGAGGGCTGGGGTTGGGGGTTGGGTGTGGGACCCCAGGGTGAGGGGCTGGGGGATGAGGTTGTGAAAGGGGGATGAGGGAAACGTGTCCCTGTCCTGGCTGGGATGTTTGTGGGGGTGACATCCCTGTGCCAACCTGCCTCTGCCAGGCACTGCTGGGTGGGTCCCCAGGCTGGACAGCTGGGTTCATCTGTCCTGGTGCTGGTGTCCTCCCCACCAGGGACTTGTCCTCCCTCCTGAGTGTCCCCATCTCTGGCACGGGTGACGCTGCCACAGCTGATGGGATGGGGCTGCATCCTGGCGGGACTGGAGCCCTGCTGCTGGGCTGGACCTGGGGATCAGCAGCAGGGTGAACACCCCGCGGTCTCAGCTCAGCTTCAGCTCACCCAGTCCTGTGCACACACGGGTGGGCACAAAGCAGATCCCGGGGTCACCATCCCTGGTGGCAGAAGGGAGCAACAGGCTTTCTCCTCCCCCCCAAAAAAAAAAATTAGTGGTTCCTCTGGTTCCTCCCCCTGCTGCTCCACTGCTGGCCCAGGAGCAGCCACTTCTGCCTTGCTGAGAAGTAATGACAGCAGAGAAATAAAGTCTTTTTCCTGTCCTCTCTGTGCCTGTGACCCTGCTCTGGGGCTGCCTGTGCGTCAGTAGGGGGGCAGGATGATTTGGGGTGGAGCCCTGTGCCCTGGTGCAGGCAGGATGGAGCTGGGAGCAGCAGAAGGTGGATGGTGCCCTGGGCAGGGGCAGGCAGGAGCAGGGAGGGTCCCTCCTGGGTGCAAGAGGTGCCCACCTCACTGGGGCTGCTGAGCCAGCGCTGCCCCCAGCACCCACCAAAGAGGGGACATGGAGCAGATGGGAGAGAAGCAGCTCAAGGGTTAAGCTCACCCAGGCCTGGGATAGCTGAATTCAGCCCAGATGGCCGGGGGATTATGGCAGCCCTGGATTTGCCATCAGCAAATGTAACGTTCCAGGTCTGGCTGGTTGGTTTTGTTGTGTTGGGTTTGGGGTTTTTTCTCGGTTAGAGGAATTTTAAGGTCACTTTGAGGCCTGGGCTGACCCAGAGGAAGTGCTGGGCTGTCCAGCTGCCCCCACCTGCCCCAGCTGAGCCAGGCTCAGTGAATGTCTCTTGGCATGGAAAGGGCCAAACTGGTCTCAAATATTTGTATGAATTGTTTTGGTGGTGCCCCATTGCACTCCCAGGGGCTCCAACCATGGGAGTCACAGCAGGTGACAAGGGGACACTGGTCCCCCTCCCTCTGGCTGGGTCACCCAGCTCATGGTGGTGGCAAAGTCACTGTCACTCGACCAGGCTCTGCAGCAGGAAGGAGTTGCTCAGCTTGTGGTGGTTACTGAATCCAGGTGGTGGTTAGAGGAGCAGGACAGGCTCAGCCTCCATGGTGGGGCAGGCAGAGAGCTGGGGTTTGCCAGGGAAAAGGGTGTTCTAGACAGAGGTGGTTTGATCTCCCGGATGGAAAATGTGGAGTTGGGATGAGTAGGAGGTGATGTTGGAGGAGGGGGGACAATGGGGGCTTTGTGGGCAGTGGGACCTCCCAGCCAGCCCAGGGGCTGAGCACTGCTGGTGCTGGGCTGTGCCTCATCCTGGTTTAATTTAATTGACTTTTGGAAAGCAAATGCTATTCCTGGTCACCCTTCAAGTGGGGAATGGACCTTCAGCTCCACAACGAGCCAGGCACTGTTGCAGCAGCAGCACCACCACTTGCTTTTCTTTCTACCTAAGGGTCTCAAGTCACCAATCCCAATGGCTTTTTGGTGTCTCCTTGCCCATAACTGCCTTGCCCAGCCTGCAGCAGCTCACTGTAGTTTTGGCCTCTCCTTTGGCTGGTTTGCTCTTCCAGCCTGGTCCTGCTGGGCCAGCTAGCAGCTCTGTAGGGTGAGAGGTGGGTGGATGGCTTTTAAAGCCTCCTATGGGAAAACCCAAATTGCTGTTGCCATCTTCATCACTCCCTCCTCAATGAATAGGCCTTGGTGTTGAGGCGTCTGTGCCTGCCACTGTGAGGAGGGCATGACCTCTTAGCTGTGGGGTGTCATGGGATCCTTTGGGGCATCTCAGCCTGATGGGCTGTGGGTGATGACAACCCATCCTGGCCTCAAGGGTTAAGCTCACCCAGGCCTGGGATAGCTGAATTCAGCCCAGATGGCCGGGGGATTATGGCAGCCCTGGATTTGCCATCAGCAAATGTAACGTTCCAGGTCTGGCTGGTTGGTTTTGTTGTGTTGGGTTTGGGGTTTTTTCTCGGTTAGAGGAATTTTAAGGTCACTTTGAGGCCTGGGCTGACCCAGAGGAAGTGCTGGGCTGTCCAACTGCCCCCACCTGCCCCAGCTGAGCCAGGCTCAGTGAATGTCTCTTGGCATGGAAAGGGCCAAACTGGTCTCAAATATTTGTATGAATTGTTTTGGTGGTGCCCCATTGCACTCCCAGGGGCTCCAACCATGGGAGTCACAGCAGGTGACAAGGGGACACTGGTCCCCCTCCCTCTGGCTGGGTCACCCAGCTCATGGTGGTGGCAAAGTCACTGTCACTCGACCAGGCTCTGCAGCAGGAAGGAGTTGCTCAGCTTGTGGTGGTTACTGAATCCAGGTGGTGGTTAGAGGAGCAGGACAGGCTCAGCCTCCATGGTGGGGCAGGCAGAGAGCTGGGGTTTGCCAGGGAAAAGGGTGTTCTAGACAGAGGTGGTTTGATCTCCCGGATGGAAAATGTGGAGTTGGGATGAGTAGGAGGTGATGTTGGAGGAGGGGGGACAATGGGGGCTTTGTGGGCAGTGGGACCTCCCAGCCAGCCCAGGGGCTGAGCACTGCTGGTGCTGGGCTGTGCCTCATCCTGGTTTAATTTAATTGACTTTTGGAAAGCAAATGCTATTCCTGGTCACCCTTCAAGTGGGGAATGGACCTTCAGCTCCACAACGAGCCAGGCACTGTTGCAGCAGCAGCACCACCACTTGCTTTTCTTTCTACCTAAGGGTCTCAAGTCACCAATCCCAATGGCTTTTTGGTGTCTCCTTGCCCATAACTGCCTTGCCCAGCCTGCAGCAGCTCACTGTAGTTTTGGCCTCTCCTTTGGCTGGTTTGCTCTTCCAGCCTGGTCCTGCTGGGCCAGCTAGCAGCTCTGTAGGGTGAGAGGTGGGTGGATGGCTTTTAAAGCCTCCTATGGGAAAACCCAAATTGCTGTTGCCATCTTCATCACTCCCTCCTCAATGAATAGGCCTTGGTGTTGAGGCGTCTGTGCCTGCCACTGTGAGGAGGGCATGACCTCTTAGCTCTGGGGTGTCATGGGATCCTTTGGGGCATCTCAGCCTGATGGGCTGTGGGTGATGACAACCCATCCTGGCTGCCCTGCCCTGCTTGGCTGCAGTTTCCTCCTAAAACGACCCTCTGTCACGGGGCCTGACGGGACAACCTCTCTGCTTCCCTTTTTTTCTCTCTAGATGGATCTGTCCCACCGGTTCTCCAAACAAGAGGTACGACGTGGCCCTGCCATGGTCACCCCTGGTGGCACTGGAGGGGGGGGGGGGATGGCAGCACTGCTGGGGCTCAGGGACACAGCTCAGCTCCCAAAGATGCTCCCCAGGAAGAGCTGGTGGTGGCGGAGCAGAGCTGGGTGCTGGGAGGCAGGGACCAGCAGGGAGCCTGAGGGGCTGGCAGGGAGGGACACCCCCTCCTCCTGGAAGGGGTGCACGGAGCAAGTCCCTGCTGTCCTGGCCCTGTGTGAGGTGTGGATGCTCACCCCACAGCTGGCCCTGCTCTACGAGGAGGTCCTCTACACCATCTGGCACCGTCTGGGCAAGCCTGAGCATCACCATGTTGCCGACTCCCGGGAGCTCTACACCTACGTGCAAAAGGTGGGTCCCAGCAGGGTCCCCAAAACCTGTCCCCTGCATGTCCACCCTCCCAGATAAAGGAGGTGGGGAGCCCTTGAAGGGAATTGAAGGAGCTTTCAGTGAGTATGTTAAAAGACACAACAGCAGCATCCAGCTGTGGGGCTGGGACAGCTTGTGTCTGGGAAATATTACCCTTGGGGAGAAATATTTATCTTAGGCTGAGGGTGGTGGGAAGAAGGCTCGAGAGCTTTCAGCTGGTCCCCACCCCTTCTGCTGGGCTCTTCGCTCCTCTCCTGGAGCTGCATCTGGCTCCCAGGGAGTGGAGGGGGGGCCCGTCCCTGGCTGCTCTCCAGCCATGGTCCATCCCTTACCCACCCTGATATCTCCAACAGGCTTTCGGCATGGATGCGGAGCAGCACAGCATCATCCTGCAGCAGGTCCAGGACCTGGAGGTACGTAGGGAAATGGCTCTGGGGGGCCCTGGGTTGTTCTGGGGGAACCACCCAGGAGCTGTTTGCTGGCCTGAGTGGCAGCTGATGGTGTGGTCCTGCCCCATCCTTCCTTGCAGGGCTGGTGACCTGCCTCCCCACCCCTTCATCATTATTAATTTGGTTTTTTTCATTCTTCCAGAGCCCAATTTTCTGCCTGAAGGCGACTGTGAAGGAAGCCAAGTGGATTCTGGGGAAGGACGTCAGTGGTAAGTGGGGACGGGTGGGTGTCCCGTGGGAAAAGGGACAGGGGGGGAGAGCTGCTGCTCCCAGCAGGAACTCTGCAATCCTCGCAGGGTTCAGCGACCCGTACTGCCTGCTGGGCATCGAGGCCAGGAGCCAGGAACCAGCCCACCCTGACCACAAGAAGCGGATGAAGGCCGTGGTCAAAGACCTCATCCCTGAGGACCAGATCCATCGCACACAAGTCATAAGCCAGACCCTCAGCCCCGTGTGGGATGAGACATTCATCCTGTAAGACCTTGGCTCTACTCGTGGTGGGGCTGGAGCGGGTGGCCCATGGTCCTCAGGGGTGGTTGGTGGGGTTTAAATTCATCCCCACCAGCAGCTGGGACTCTGCCAGGGTGAGGCCCACTGGGGCTTCGTCAGCCTCCTGCTCTGACCCATAGAGCAGATCCAAGGAGGTGAAAAAGGAAGGCATGGAAAAAAAAAATCCCTCCTTCAGGGCTTTCCCACCACTTCTCCAGGCTGTGCAGGGTGGTTTGGGGTCTGTCTCCCCCAGGGAGGGGCCACCTGCCTGTGATCCCCAGCTGCCCTGCCTTGCTGTTGGTCCCTCGGGTGCTGCTGGAGTAACAGCTGGTGCTGGTGCCTTGCAGGGAGTTTGAGGACACGGAGACAGCCAGCTTCCACCTGGACATGTGGTGAGTGACAGCACTGCTGCCCAGTCCCCCTGACCCCTGGGGTCCTGCCTCCTGGGATGGTCCTTCAGCCTGCACCCTTTAAAAAGCCAGCTGGGAACTCTCTTCTCCATCAGTTTCTGCTGGAGCAGGATGGGACCAGCATGAGCCAGGTTGGCTTTGCCCACTCAGGGCTGGTCCTGAGCCCTGATTTTACACATGGCAAGAAGCTTGCAGATTCGGGCTGGACAGCTGGTTCTGGGGGGGTGACCTCAGACCCAACACATTCCTCCCCCTGCTCCCAACACCTTCCTTTCTCCAGTCCCTGAACTGTTTTGCAACCACCTGAATTTCCCCTTCCTGCCCCCCCGGGGGGGCTCCCACCCCCGCAGGGACTCGGACGCGGTGGAGTCGGTGCGGCACAAGCTGGGGGAGCTGACAGACCTTCATGGCCTCAAACGGTTGGTGCTGGTGTGGCCTTCACCCTGCCGAGGAGGGAGGGTCTGGAGAATGGTTATTTGCCTGCTGGGTTTTAAAAAATTAAAAAATTGAAGGGAGGGGGGGGGCAGCAGGTCTGTGTCACCCCCTGCTTTGCCCCATCCAGCCTGGGTCAGGGCTGCAGGAAAACTCTCCAGCCCCCTCCTTCCTTTGTGCCTTTCAGGATCTTCAAAGATGCTCGCAAGGACAAAGGGCAGGATGATTTCCTGGGGAACGTGGTCGTTCGCCTGAAGGTGATGCACCCTCTGCTCCAAGTGGCTCCCCACGGGATCCAGGCAGGATCCCAGCCCACCCAGCATCCCAGCTCAGAGCCACATGTTGATGCCAGGTCCCTCGGTTCGGTGGCAGGTGCCCCAGCCACCCCCCCCCCCCCCCCCCCCTCTGGGATTTTTGATCCAGTACTAGAGTTACCTTCCTGCCCCGTTAAGGCCAGTGGGACTTGGTCCTTGAGAGGGATCCTTCCCCCAGGAATGCTGCCCGAGGCTTCACCCTTGTCTCTGTGAATCCAGGACCTGCACTGCTGGAATGACCGGTGGTACCAGCTGGAGCCACGGACTGAGACATATCCCAACCGGGGACAGTGTCACC